CTTTTTTTTTTCAAAATTTTTTTTAAGATTTTATTTATTTATTTGATATAGAGAGAGAAGCAAGAGCGAGCACAGGCAGACAGAGTGGCAGGCAGAGGCAGAGGGAGAAGCAGGCTCCCTGCCAAGCAAGGAGCCCGATGTGGGACTCGATCCCAGGATCCTGGGATCATGACCTGAGCTGAAGGCAGAGGCTTTAACCCACTGAGCCACCCAGGCGCCCCAGGACTCTCCTGTTCTGAAGCTGTGAATGCTTACTCATGTAGGTTCCTGCTCAACAAAGTATCAGCATGTTATATTTGTCACCAAAATCTAGGCAGAAAAGACAAATTCAGAACACTGAGAGTTGCCAAAGCTTTAACTTCTAGCTTGAGGACCATAAAACGGTTCCACCTTCTATCTCATCATCTCACAAAAACAGAGGCCACAGGAAATAAAAGCAAAACACAGGTTCTCTCAATTGACACTGGAGCTAGTTAAAAGATTACAGAATTGTCTACACTTTGAGGACAAATTAAAGAGTAACAAAGACTACTGATTTGGGGATAGAATAACTACTGATTAACAACAAAATACCAAAGTTGATGTGAAAGACAAACAGCTATGTTTTTGTTTCCATTTTTTAACATCTATCTTTAAAATACTAGGAATACAGATCCCCATACGCCTGTCCCATTGCATAAAATTCACTTTTTAACCTTTCTACTCCTTGAAAAGTCAATTCTGAAAGTAAATACAAGTTATTCAAAAAGCTGCTACATAGAGAGTTGACCTACTATAAACAGCTTCTTCTTTTGATTTTTTTTTTAATTGTTTAACTAGTTACATAAGCATCATGACCACCCACACTGAAATTTTTCACTACTAAACCCCCAGCACCAGGCCTGGCATAAAGAGGGTGCTCAGATGTTTTATGGGGATGAACTTCTTATTGAAAACTTCTGAAACCCTAAGGCAGACACCCAGGATTCTCTAAGACTTCACTAACGCAGTTAATGAATTTAGTAGAGGTCAAATGCCCCTTTCTAGCACTCTTCAAGCTTTTGCAGGGAAAATTTACATTTCTACCATACTTTTTGAAACCCTGCGTGAGTCATGGAAGTACATTTAAAGTGGCAGCATACCCTATTTTAAGTTACTGCAACTCCCTCTGAAAAAGGGAAATCTTTGAAAACTCAGTATTACGAAATTCCAAAATCTCACCAATAACAAATACAGCATATGCCAAGTCCCCATTATTATCAGGTTCACTTTTCTGATTTAACCTTGAACATTTATTTCTTGTAATCTAAAATCAGGTTTTCCTCTTTCTACCCCTTGAAAATATACTTGATCCTGTAACACTACTCACAAGGCCTCCCAGCCCCTACTTCTTTTGTATATAAACACACTCCGGTCACACACTCCCATCAGCTGTTTGGTAGCTCCGCCCCTCCTCCTTTTCCGGGTAGTAACAGAGCAGCCAATGAGCTGTGAGGAGCTGTGCCTGAGGCCTTTTGCCTGCATATGCTTTTCCAAAACAAGCAGCTCCAGCCTTCAGCGGGGCCACTGGTTCGCAGATAAAAGGATCACCAGGCTGTGCAACAGGGTGAGACGAGTAACCCCCACCAACAAGGAAACCCGTGTAATCTGAGCTGTTTGTTCCTCCACCCAGGGAGAATTCAAACCGATATTCCTTTAGGGCAAATCACGCTTTAAGGTCACCAGAGTCCCAGTTCTCAGACAATCAAAATAATCAGAGATGGAAACCTCAACGCTTGCCAGGCTAGGAATGGCACAGTATAACCTGACTTTGAAAACAAATGGCCACACCACCATTCACAACCATTCCACAGGATTTGGGCAAACCAAGTTTTTTGACTGGGACACATTCCTACAGGGCCCAAAAGTCAGTACATCAGTCTCCAGGCTCCTGGAGAGCTTTGCACAACCCTCAGCAAAGGATCAGAACAGAAACAATGAATGAGTCAGAGTTTCAGAACATAATCGCCCAGCAGATTATTAAGTGCATCGGTGCAAAACACTCACTCCCTGCATAACTTGAGAGTCAGCTCTCCTCCTACCAACCCGTCACAAAAGAAATATCACCGACTCCCAACAACCACCACAGAGAGGGTCTCCAAAAGAACCTAGCGAGCTGGTGGAAAGCAGCGGCCAGTTAGTTACACATCCCCTTCTTTCCCTACCCCCACACCGCTACTTTCCTACTATATAGGTTCCCTGCCAAGCTGTAAATCGTGGTCGCATAATTACACTCAGGAGACATCCAAAAATGGGCTGAAACAGGAGACTGCAATGAAACCAGCTATCGGCCTCCAAACCAAAGAAATCGTCAAGGGGCACTGAGGGGCAAAAAGCAAGTACATTCCTTCAGACCTTCTCTACTTCCTCTCCACCATCTTTCATTTTCAACCCCCGGCCCTTTCACACAATTGTACTAATTTTAATAGTGGGCTGCAAAATTTTTCCTTCAATTTTTTGTTAAATATACCTTGCTCAAAAATTATTGGCTCCATTTGGGCCTACTAATAGGAATTCAACAGAGAAAAGAGGCCACAAAATCTCCCATCCCCACAACACACAGGCACACACAAAAGGAAATACAAAAATTTTAACTTCCAAACTGCGTGAGACCAGAAAATAACAAATACGAAACAAAGATAACCTCTGGCTTTTACGTCCTGAGACTGTTGTCCTTCTATCTCAGAAATCTATGATTTTAAAGGGCCTCTGCTTTCTTTTGTCAGAAAGGAGGAAGGTGGGGAAAGAACAGAAGGCCAATGCATCTTTGCCTTTCTTCATATTCTACTAAAAATAAGCTATGAAATAAGCCACTTAGGGGAAGAAAAAAGAGAAAGACACCCTGCTGTTCTTTGTCTGTTTTCCTCTCCCTCTCCACCCCCCACACCCCGACTCCTAAATGCGGTAATCATTCTAGATGCCACAACTACTAAATGAACAAAAGGCAGTGTATGGAAAAGGCATCAGGTCAAGTTAGGCCTCACCCTTTATCCTCAATCATCTAAAAATATGTATGTATATAATTTGAGACTCTGACATTGATCAAAAACAGCTGGAATACTCTCTCCACCTCCATCCCAATTAAACATTAGGTAGAAATTTGCATTAGGTGTGACAGTAACTCTCAATTCAGGATAAAAATAACTCAGATTCTGCCACCATGTCATTTCCTAGTTTCTAAACAAAAATAAAACCCGAAACTGCTTTGTGTAAAATGTACACACAACCATAGTTACAAGTTTTCCTGCAACCTTATGAAAAGCCAACATCACTGGCATCATTCACACATTTACAAAACTCAATCACAGTCACAAACAGCTCCTAAGAATCAATTTCACTTGTGCCTAGACATATTTGGAACATGTTTTTTATTATTTGCTCCTCTCTGTAATGCCTCCTCCCACCTCCCAAAAACTCTAAACTTCAAACCCTAAAACTTAGAAGTCTACTACTGTTCCTAATTTCTAGCTAAGTTTTCCTAAGGAGAAAAACACCTTATTCCTGAAAAGAGAAAAAAAAAAAAAATCTCTTGCCCAGGCTACTTCCCTCCCATCCCCCACTTCCAAACCAAATACAAAAACTACTTTTTTAAAACTTCGGAGAATTCCATAACTGAGTATTTAACAATAATCATCAACCTCTAAAAAGAAGAAAAACGTCCTATCAAAAACAGTACCAAATAAAAGGAAGAAAGAAGGAATTCACCTGAAGAATCTAGCCAAACAACTTGAGTTATATAAACAAAACCCTGCAACAGGGGAAATGGTGGGGGGATGGGGGTGAGGGAGAAAGAGAAGCAGGAGACAGGACTTTTTAACTGCGTTTCACACACCACCACTCCCCATCCCCGGTTCCCCTTCTCCCCAGGGATTAGCTGTTCAGAACACTGGACTCATTTCCTCTCCCACCCAGCCCCCCCAACGCTCTAAATTACCCCTCAAAAATTTTCTAGATTTGTCACAGGAACCTTCGCGAATTTCTCGAGCTGGTCATGCAATAATCAGTCTGGACTCCAACCAAAACCACGGCCTGAAGGGCCCTTATCAGTTACAGCTTTCCCACTGCTACCTCCTGAGTACATAAAGTTGCGGGGGGGCGGTGGAAATAAAGGATGTCACTTGGTAAAATCAGGGCAATTATTCCCCAAGAACCTTACCCTCACAGAGGGAGTTTGCTTAACTGGCCAGTATAAGGGCTATTTTGTCAAGGAGAGATCTTTCTCTCCCTCCCCCAGCTGTCATATCCACAATATGGAGGGTGGCTTGCTAGAGGGCCTGGGGGTCCTCACCGCATCCAACTATGGGTGGGACAGGCTTTGTCAGTGAAAACCAAAACAAAACAAAAAAAGCCGGTGGGGTTCTTTTAGGCACCAGAAAGCTTAACAAGAGTCTCTGATTTAAAACACTCAGAGCTCTTTATTACAACAGGGGGCACGGAGCAGACTACTCTTCCTAATATAGAAAGGAATTAGGGATAAAGGAGGTCACTTGAGTTACCCCAGTTCAAGAAGCATAGTGAAAGGAGGGAATGGAGGCATCTCAAGAAAGGAAGAAAGGCTTCACTCTCTGGAATTTCTATCAGGAGTCCCTAAATTCAGAGCGAGGGAACAGGAGAGACCCTGAGGTGGGCACGGTGGTCAAGAGAGGTGGATGGTCCTGCAAAAAAAAAAAAAAAAAAAAAAAAAAAAAGGCCGTCTTGGGAATCCAAACGTCGTGGAGGAAAGTCGCAGGCAATAAGGGTGCAGAAGAGGGAGGAACAACGCACATTTCGGGGTGCTGCAGATAAAGGGGGAGCTGAAAAGGCTCTAGGCTCCTGGGAGGTGCCAAGGAGCCGCCGTAGGCACTGGGGGGAGGGAGGCGAGGAAGGGAGCCTCGGACAGTGGCCGGGAGTGCCCCAGGGCCCCTGGCTGGGTTTCAGGGGTGCCCTGGGAATCATCACACCGCCCCCACTCACAGCCCGAATCCCCCCTCCACGAAGGATACAGCTTGACCACGTCCGTGTCCATCCGCCTCTTGCCCGGACTGGGGGATGACATGGTGTCGCCGCTGCCTCCCCGTCGCCTGCGCCGCCGCCTCTCTCCTTTCCTCGGCCCGTCTATCACGGGCCCCGGGCCCCGGCTCTGAGGAGCCCGCGGCCGCGCCGGCTCCTCGGGGGAGGTGGCAACACCCCCGCGGTCCTGTCCGGTCCCGTCAGCCGCCGCCGCCGCCCCCCGCACGGGGGAACACCGGGCACTGTCCGGCCGAGTGGGGGTGGGGACCCCGCGGCGCCCGGCTCGGGCTGCCCCTTTCCGGCTGTGGGTTCCTCCGCGGCCTGGCCCCGGCGCTAGTGTGCGCCACGCGTCGCTCCCTCCTGCCTGCTCTAGCTCGCTCGTCTGCTCGCCCGCTCACCCTCTCGCCGACTCCCTAGCAGCCTCCACGACAAGCGGACGACTCCTGCTCACTCGGCCTCTCAACCCCAGCCTCGCTCTGGGCGCCGTGACGTCACCTCTGTGACGTCATCGGCGGGGCGGTCCCAGCTGGCGAAGGGGGTGGGGCGCCGCAGTGGCGGCGTGGCCTTTCCCGGGTGATTCTGGGAGATGTAGTTCCTCTTTCTCTTGCCCTCCCAGCCCTGTGCCCCCTCCCCCAACTCCTTCCGCACACTTAATCGCTCAACTGCCAGTGTCGTTATCATCATCATAAACGATAATAGTAAATAATGGCAATATTACATTTGTGTGTTTTGGGGTAATGAACCACCTTCTCATATACACTGTGAAAAATGCTGTTTATTTGATTTGAGGTGGCAATTACTAGGATAGGCACCAAAATCAGAAAATTCCCACAGGAGCGGGTTCCCTGCACCCTGACCCCTCCTTGGATGGAGAGAATTGTTTGCAGCGATAGTAGACTATAGCAAGGCTTCCTCAGAGCTTGCAAACCAGTATTCATCACCCTCCATATATAGAGAGGCCCACTATATCAAGGATTAGACTTGAAGCAGCAAGTTGGCAAGACCAGAAATAATTTGGTACTAGCATCCTTACCCCACAGAGTATGAGGTAATTTCACAAAGCGAATGACTGATAGAAGCAGAAACACCCCAAATATGCTGTAGTTCAAAGGACAAAGATTGTTCTGTCCTCCACACTCCTGTACCAATGCTATATACTCCATCATTAATTCCATAAACATTTATTGAGCACCTACTGTGTGTGAATCACTCTGCTGGACATGAGGATATCGTGGTGAACTAAGACTTTAAATTTACACAGTCCTTTCAATATGGTCTGTGGATCTAAAGTGTCAGCATCACCTGGGAACTGGTTAAAAATGCAGGCCAGAGCTTCACCACAGACCTACTGCATTAGAATCTGCAATTTAACAAGATCCCGGGGTGGTTCTTATGTGCAGTGAAGTTTGAGAGTCACTGCTCTACAAAGCACTCCATAAGAAGTGGTATGAGACCCAAGAGTCAACCAGGCAAAGGGCGCAAGAAAGAGTGATCTAGACATCTCCTGATGTTTATATCACATTTTTGCTGTCAAAATTTTTATCTGTTTCCTCTTTCCTATGAATACACTTGTGCTTTGTCAGACCATGTGCTGTGAGATGGGTCCCTTTGTATTAACCCCCCACCCGCCTCGACACACACCTGGGGCAGCAGCAATCAACTAAGATTGAGGATTCTTTACTCCTACCATTCCATCCCTCCAAAGGACTAGTCATTTGTGCCTGTGTTTAATATACATAAACTAAAATTTGCCATTTCAACCATTTTAAGTGCACAATTCAGTGTATTCAATACATTCACAATGTTGTACAACCATCACTACTCTCCCTTTCAAGAACTTTTTCATCATCCCAAGCAGAAACTCCATACCCTTTAGACAATAATTCCTCAATCATTCTCCACCTGCTCCCCAAGCCCCTGATAACCTCTACTCCACTTTATGAAAAAGACGATTTTTTTTTAAAGATTTTATGTATTTATTTGACAGAGAGATCACAAGTAGGCAGAGCGGCAGGCAGAGAGAGAGAGGGGGAAGTAGGCTCCCCGCTGAGCAGAGAGCCTGATGCGGGGCTCGATACCAGGACCCTGAGATCATGACCCAAGCCGAAGGCAGAGGCTTAACCCACTGAGCCACCCAGGTGCCCCTATGAAAAAGGCTATTTTAACTGCTCCTAAAAGGGGTACATTGGTCTTTCCTACTGCACATAGCAATTCTGTTAGAAGGAAGACCCGAGGAGATTTCTAAACCCTTTTATGTGACCACTTTGTTCAAGGGAGATCAGGATGGAGCAGAAAATTGTTCTTGACTGTCTCCTCTAGGCTCTCCAGGCTCCTGTTGCTATTACCTCCTCTGCTCCTCACTCTCCTTCACCTGAGTAACCCCATTCGAGTGTTAAGACAATGATGCTCAACCTTCGGTGTGCTTCAGTATCATCTGGGGAGCTTGTTAAGTTCACAAAGGTCCAGGGACCCCGCCACTGGGGATTTTGATTCAGAAGGTCTGGGGCAAGGCTTGGATGTCCACGTCTTTAACAAGTTCCCCAGATGATTCTGATGTAGGTCAAAATTTGAGAACCACTGTGTGAAGATGCCAATAGGCCTCAGCACTTTCCAAATGCCTGCCTGACCTCTCCAGGTGAGTCTTCTGTTTTCATAATATCCTGTGCAAATAAGGATGTTTCCTCCCCACGTGAGAGCAAGGTGGCAGGCTCAGAGGACCCAAAGGTGTTTCCAGAACAGAAAGAACAGTTCAAGGATGGGTCTCGAGAAAAAAGGGAATAGGGAGGATCTAGAAATGATCCCTGGTGGGCTTTAATTTTTACAGATGCTATGCTGCTGTGATCTAAGCTCTAAGCAAAAATAACCAGAGAGGTGTTTAGAGAAACTTGTTCCAGACAACACTGGAGAAGGTGGGGCTGTTATACCTAGAAATGCAATGGAGATTTAGCCCTCTGAGACGTCACTGAAAAGCAATCACCTAGAGAAGAGTTATTGTCTAGAAAGGATCTTAGCTCTGGGTTACTCAGGACAAACCTGCCCTTCCCCAGCCCTTAATTATGCCTCAGCTAATTGCAGATATCCTCCCAGAGCCTCAGTGTTCTCATCTGTAAAATGTGACCCATAATGCCCTACCCACTTGAGTGGGTTGATGGAATAAATGGAAAGGATGAATGTGAAAGCCCCTCATAAACTATAAATTGCTTTTAATAAAGGTAACATGAAGTGTTGATTACAAGATGCAATATATTATTGGTGGTGGTATTATTATTTTATTATTAATCTCAAACTCCCATTTACCCACTTCTTATGCACTCTCTATCATTTAAGGAGAAAGGTCTTCAGGTGGGGTTTTTGTATTTTTTTTTAAGATGTCATAGTGTCAATTCTTTCTCTTTGTGGTTAAAGTATGTTCACGTTTTTATGACACTCCTGTTCTCTCTGGGCACTTTGCCATTTGCTCCTTCGTAAATCCATTTCCTCTAATCTGACTTGGTCCCCTCTCCTCCACTGCAAGCCCTCCCCTCCCCTTCCCAGAGCCTCAGGAGATTCCTGAATCTGCCCTTGACCAGGTAGTTTCAAAAGGTGACTTCGAAGTGGTGCCAAATGACAGTCTTTGTTTGACTTCTTTTTTTTTTTGGCTTACAAAACCTGGAGCTCCTCTCGAACAATGTTAAGTTTGAGCCCACCTTTTTTTTTTTTTTTAACTCACCTTTTTTATCCAAAGTTTTAGCCATTCAGAAGGTCAATAATTTACTCTAAGACAACACTGGAGCCTGGGAGTGTCTGTTTATATGTGTGCACACACATGGCAATGTACTGGAATGAACCATGTTTTTCCTTATCAGGTACAACCAGGGTGCTGTGAGGGAACAGCTGTCCAGTCGGCCTGAGTCACCAGTGTTGCAATCTGGGAAATGTATTCGGGCCTGTTTATCTCTCCCCAGGGCAAGGCCGGGCTTGACCAATGGATCCTCCGATCTCAGAAGCTGCTTCCCAAAGGCAAGCAAACAAGTTGGGAAAGAATATAATGCTTTGGGCAAGACACTAAGAGGGAGCAAGAGGAAAGCCATCCTGTGATGGAGTGAGTGGAAGACCCCCACCCAAACAGCCTAAATAGCGTAAAAGTCGCCCTCCCTCTGAAGGTACCTGTTTCACACAGGAGCTCTAAAGCCAAAATGAATTTATCACCGTCCCCGCCAAAGGCCAAGATCCCTCAAATAAGGCCTCCTGATTCCATTTTCTATCAGGGAAATAGGTTCCTTTTCTTTCTTTCTTTCTTTCTTTTTTTTTTTTTTTTTTAAGATTTTTATTTATTTATTTGACAGAAAGAGACACAGTGAGAGCGGGAACACAAGCAGGAGGAGTGGGAGAGGGAGAAGCAGGCTTCCCGCCGAGCAGGGAGCCCAACGAGGGGCTCAAGCCCAGGAACCTGGGATCATGACCAGAGCCAAAGACAGACACTTCACAACCGAGCCGCCCAGGTGCCCTGAAATAGTTCGTTTCAAGCTCTCACTCTCAGCATCTGAGATCACAAGTCCAGACCCCTCTAGTAGCCAACTAACAGCAGTTTCCTTGCTGCTATGGAAATAAAGGCTGAAAAGAACACCTCAAGGGGTGCTTGACTGGCTCAGTCTCTTGATCTCGGGATTGTGAGTTCGAGCCCCATACTGGGTGTAGAGACTACTTAAGAAGAAGGAAAGAAAGAAATGTAATCATTTCAAGCCATCTCTGTGTAACCCTGTTACAATCTGTCCCCACAGAGGTAGTAGGGGGAGCTCAGGAACATGCAGGTCAGACGCAGCAAGGACAGAAGGATTTCATCTCCCACCCAGGTTGTTTTACTTGCTACCTGTCCTCCTTGGACAAACAGGAAGCCCCCCAAAGCGGCATGATTCAGAGAGAGCATGGAACTTAGAGACAGACAACCCTTTCCAGTCATTTGGGCAAGGAACCTAACCTTTGTGTTTCAGTCTACTCATCTGTAAAATGTAGAGTACTCTCATACCTTTCCTAGATCAAATAGAAGAGATGTTGCATCCTCCGAAGTGCCAGTCATATATAAGATATTATCATGCCCCTCCCCCATACATACACACAAACACCCACACACCCCAGTGCCAAGGCTCAAGGAGGGAGCAAGATTGGAAATGATCCACTGCTCCATGGGGGTGGGGGAGCGCTCACCTGGGCCAGCTGCCCTGCGGGGAGCCTTTGTTTTGCCAGCTATAGCCTCCTGCCCTTCCTTAACTCCCTGATCTGGAAACGCTGGAGGCCCCAGACTCAGTCCTAGTCTCTGTCCTTCTTTATCCACATTTAATCCCTGGAGGACCTCATCCAGTCTCAGTTTAAATTTCCAAGCATGATCTGACTCCCCAGTGTACGTTTTTTTCTTTCTTTCTTTTTTTTTTTAAGATTTTATTTATTTATTTGACAGACAGAGATCACAAGTAGGCAGGGAA